AAGACCTTCGGCTCAGACAGCGACAGTAAGTGATTGCTACCGACACCGGGTTTTGGCTTGGTGGGGCCCTGGGGACCTTGATCACCCTGCTCAAGCTCAGACGCCATGCCTTTCACAGAAGGTTCATGGTTTCACACTATTGCAGCCCCCCTCAAAACTTCAAAGCGTCAACATGGAATCTCGATGCAAAAAGGGTGAAACACCCCATGGCACGCATCAAGATTTGTCTCTAAGCACTTCACAGAAGGTCCAACCGCTTGGAGGGGCTTTTGCACGAAACTCAAAAACTCAACGGCTGAAGGGTGAAACACTTGAAAGGTGAAACACTTTACGGACGACATGAAGGTTTGCCACCTCTGCAGACGTCACTCCATTTAGGCGTGTAGGGTTTGCAGGGTTTGCCACTCCTTTCAAGGATTTGAGCCAAAAATTTGAGCCAAAAATTGTATGTGTGGGTGTCGCGGTATGTCGGTTTATATGACACTCTTTCTCTCTCTATAGGCTTCTCCTGTCGATTTGCAACATTTCTCTCTGTCTTCCGTCGTGGCAAGAATCAGTTATGTGGCGCTTTGCAATGCGACATGAAACTCGAAAAGTTCGCACAACACTGTTCCGGGACGACGCACACCAACTAGCCCTTGCACGTCATACTTCTTTCAAGGCCCTGGGCCCTAGGCTCAAAGGCTCAAGGATGACGACGGTTGGATTGCACAGGCAGCTACTACCCTACCCTGCGGACAATCGGTGTGGAATGCAATGCGACGGTTGGGCCGGGGTCGGGGCGGGGTGAGCTTGGCTTGATGTTGTGGAGATTTGTCGAATTGAATTGGGATGCTTCGCGTAGCTTCTGCAGCAAAAGACTTCAAAGGCCACAAAAAGAAGCACCCCAACCCCAACAAACTCGACCAAAAGCGACACTCGAACCACCATGAAGCCTTAACCCGAGCCCTTCTGTTCGTGCCACACCCATGTTTTCACAGCAACGGTCATGTGCACTGTCCCAATCTTGACTCAAAACTGCCGTGAGGAGGACGGCTGCGAGAAGCAAGTATCTGGAGCTACATGTTTGGCACGGCTGAGCACATATAGCAAAACCGTTCCCACGGAGCTGAGAGCCATTGTATTCCCAGCCAACGATCGAACTTGAGCCTCTGATAGGCTGCCATCCTTGAGCATACGAGCTGCCGGCGTTTCGGCATCGAAGCCCAGAGATTCCAAGGCCTCCGAAGCAGTCAAATACTTCTGCTTGCCCAAGTGATAGATCTGGGAACCCGTAGTCAAGGTCGGCAGAAACATTTCCAGGGATCCCCATGGTGGCCGCTGGGATAAGTCTCCGATAGCCCAGGCTTCATTCCTCGGGTTTTGAAGCATCTTGTCCACGCGAATGTCGTTGTATTTGGCCAGGCTTTGATGCTTCGTTTTTGATTCCTCACCTGAAAAGGCTTGTCCGGCACGAAAGAAGATGCCGCCCTTCTTGTCACACTCCTGAACCCACAAGTCCACAAACTCTTTGTAACTGCCTCCAAAACTAATTCGGCCAGCATCCCAAACCACGGAGTAGCGTCGCTGCCGTTTTGCAGGGATATTGAACATCGTCGGACACAGATTGAAAACAACCATCTTCCATCGCCGACTTCCAAAATAATGGAGTGGGTCCAGTAGAAGCACGTCTGGGAAGTCAGGCGTATTCTCGTGGATCAAAATCGGGACATTGCTGCGAAGGAAGTGTGCCATCCAAATAGCGACAACCACGGCTGTCGGTCCAGCTGCTCCTTGCCGTTTCCCTCGGCGGGAAAAGTCAATGCACGGAGAGCCTGCAACGTGTATTCGTAGAGCACCATGAACGATGTCAGGATTCAACGGGCATTCTTGGCCGGGGTGAAGTGCACATGGGGCCGAATCCTTCAAGCCACCATCTTCCAGGAGCGGCTTCAGGAGCTGACGGATGAAGTTCTTCCCCTCATCTGCCTGAAGCTGGCCACTTTGCTGCGCAATCTTCCGCAACTCTGCCAAGCATTGCGGCGTCACCGACTCCTCCAAGTCACCAAAGATGTGCGAGGGACCGTGGGCAGCCCAATCGACATTCTCAGCAAGGTGGTGCAAACAAGCTCGTGGAGCAGAGGCCTTATCAGCGGCCGAGCATAACACTATGCCCTGACCCTCCTGCTTGCGAAGGCTCAGGCCTCGCTTCTGGACTGCATCCTCGATCTTCTTGGCCGCCACACTGGGAGCGTCCATGCCAGAAAAGCGTGTGATCATGTGCACACCAGCTTCCAGGTTTTGTCGCAGCGTGGTCCAAGCATCGCCCTGCAAGGCATCCAGATGGCGCTCCGCCCACTCTAAGCACCAGCTGACTTCCGACTTGTTCTGCACGGTCCCGGTCACCGCTTCAGCAGCAGCAGCCTGCGTCAGGGATTTTGCAGCCAACCCCTAGCCCTAGCAGCCTTAGCAGCCTAGCAGAAAACCTGAACCGTCTGCAATCAGTCGAAGCTTGGTTTTCGCTGTCGCACTGTTTCGACTCTGCAACAGTTGTTGTCGTTGCGGCCTGCGCCTGCATCGTGGTACATCGTAGCACCGAAATCTCGCTTTGCGAAAATTTCCATTGGATGCCATGCCGTGGCGTGACATGTGTGCTCATTCAGACATGCTGCGACTGCGACATGCTGCTCTGGAAAATCACTCTGAAAATTCTGTCGGAGAACTCACGAATCATGATTCAGTCCGGGCAATTCCACGGTCCACGGCCTGACCGACGATGCCGCAACGGCACAGCCTTTGGCTTGCGCTGTGGCACTGGCAGGCCTCTGTCATCTGTCCATGTCCATGCCATGTTCAGGCATCCGTGGTTCTCCTTCTTGGCGACAGAAGCAAGACAGGTTTCGAATCCTTCGCGGGGTCTTCGGGGCGGTTCTCGGAGTCGGAGGCCTTGTGGTCCTTCTCGGATATGTTCTGGTTCTTGGCGGGGCCCCTGGCATCCTGCTTGGCTTGAATAAGGCTTTAAGGATTTATGAGGCTTATATAAAAATTGAAAGATGCGTCCTCCTCGGCTTTCTTCTGGATGTGTTCGGCATCCTGCTGGGTCTCGGCATTCTGGACGGCGGCATCCTGTTTGTCCGGGGTCTTCTAGGGTTGAAGGGCGGGGCTTTATCTCGGTATATACGGCTTGGACTTAAGCTTCAATGAGAAGTGTGCAATGCTTAAGGGTATGCTACTGCTACATTGAATATTGTACCCCTACCCCGGGCCGTAGGGTTGAAGAGCGGGGCTTTATCTCGGTATATACGGCTTGGACTTAAGCTTCAATGAGAAGTGTGCAATGCTTAAGGGTATGCTACTGCTTTATTGAATATTGTAGCCCTCGTCCTGTTCGAGCTGGAGTCGGGCTGCCTCTGCGGCTTTCTTCTCGCGGTCAACAGTTTGCTGCCACTGCCTATAAACTGCTGCGAGGCCCTTGGAAGCATTGGCGCCCTCAGCCGCATCACCAACCCAATCGGCAGCAGCCTCAAGATTGCGATCCGAGGCCAGTTTCGGAATCCACAGCATTCGCACTCCATAAACACACTTGGCGTTGACGACCTGCACGACAGCAAGAATCGACAGCAACAAATGCGACGTGAAGACAAAACACTGCATGTTACATGAATGCACTGCATCACTGACTCAGCACAGACTGCAAACTGGATTGAAAGGATCGGGCCTTCTCTGCCAGGATCCACCCAGGTGGCAGATAAGCTACAGAATTTTGGCCCAACAGCGCATGACAAAGAGCATCGGGGTGGAACGAAAGGAAGGATGCCAGGGAGCTCGGTTGGGCCGTGCTGACAAACTGTACCACATCTTTGTGATGCACTCGTTCACCCTTGCGGCAACTCTTCAAGTAGCTCACCACCGCCTCCAACGGCATCATGATCACATGTCGGTGCCCCTGGACCTGCCACCGGAGCGACGGCAACTGAAGAGTCTCCAAGCCGTGTTGCTGCATATCTTCTCCGTAGCCGAAGACAGCTAGGCTGTCCGCCGCCGTGAACAAAGTGTCAGCATCGCCTTCGGCGTTCGAGCACATGAAATACGAAAAAACAGATATGAAAACGCCCTAGTTATGATCGCTTCTGAGGCATTCAAACTTCAAACACTTTTCATCTTTCCAGGTGTTAACATGTGGCATTTAACAACTTGATAGAAACAGGACTCCACAAGTCTCGGACAAACTGAAACAAGCAGACCGCGGAAGAAACCCCGCGACCCAATCATCGATCGCTTTGGCAGAGGATTAGCACAATTCACAATGGAATCGCGCCTTCAGGTCGAAACTCTTGCACACCCAACTCCTGCAGCACATCGTCGCGCAGTGCCTTGCTCTCTTGCAAAAGCCGGGTAAAGCGTTTCGATCCCTGCAGGGCGGCAGCACTCCCTGGAAATCCATTGTAAAAGGATTCCAGGCAGGACTTCACTTTGCTGTCCTCCAGAACTGCTTTCGACTTCGGGAGAGCCGAGTCCCCCAGTCGAATCACGAACGGCTGGGCCCAGTCCAAGCCGTCGAAGTCCGATGGCTCTTTCAGCACCGTCTGAGACAGGACCTTGACACCCAGCTTCACGATGTCAATGTCAAAGACAGAACCAACTTTCCCCTGCTTTTCAGCAGCTCTGGCAAGCCGGGCCGCTTCGGCTTCACGCTTTTTCTGAGCACTGCTGATTTGTTTCTGCAGCGTCTGGTCTGCGACCCGCTGCTGTCGCTCCGCCGTGGCTTTGCGATCTCTGATGAATTTCTTCACCTTGTCCAAGGATGCTTTCAAGCTCCCTTTCATCACGGCAACGAGGTTGATCACAGGCTTGAAGTCGTTCTCGAGCTTCTTCTTCTCCGCGTGCGAGGTCACGTTCTTGGCCTCCTGCTGCAACAAGAAGAGGGGTTCCGCCACGGCAGAGGCGGAACCGAAGATCTCCGGGAGCTCGGCGGGCTCGGTCTGGTAGGCGACTTCGTAGGCCTTCGCATCCGCATCGATGATCTCCTTGCTGGGGAGCTCCTTGCCTGGCCTGTAACTGCCCAGGAAAGAAAGCGAAAGCCGGATCCGCGCGTTCAGCAGGCTCGTGGACTGGCGCTCGTGGTTGGCCAACTCTTTGTCACCGTTGGCAGCAACGAAGTCGGGGTCCTGCAAGAACGCCTGGGCTTCGTCCTGCATCGCCTGCAAGCCTTGGATTTCCCGGTCCAGGTTGTTCGTTAGCTTTGTCAGCATGGCGTTCCTTTCGGTACCGGAGTCGAAGGCCTTTGTCTTCTTCGGCGGTGGTTCCTGCTGCTCTTCGGAGGACTGAAGAGCAGACGCAGACGAAGCAGAAGGCGCTGTCAAGCGAGCGGAGCGTCCAAAGACGGAGTTCACCAAGTCAGAACTGTCCGCCGGCACGTCAAGACCGTATCTCTGCCAATCAGTGTTGGCAGCGCCTTCGAGCGCCTCATCCATCATCTGGCTGGTTTCCTCCTTGTACTTCAACGGCTTGAATTCCGATTCTTTGGACTTCTCATGCTCGATGGAGTTCTCGAAGACCAAGAAATCATCGATTTTCACGGGGATGGTCAGCGGCGAGTCCTTCGGCCCAGTCATCAGCTTGTGCTTCGCCTTCTCGACCTCGACGTCCCATTTAAGGGATGCCTCTCGGCGGTCGAGGCCAAGCCTCTCGCACCAGTGCTGAATGGCCCTTGACTTGTGCATGAAGATGGCCTTGTGACCGAGTCTAAAGGCGCTCTTCACCCTGACCGCTTCTTTGTAGCGAAGGAAGTCGAACTTGCACCTCTGGCTGTACTTGCGCCTGGTGGCAGCTTGCTTTTTCACATACTCGAAGACCAAATCTTCGAAGTCTGCGCCTCCTTGCTTCTGAAGGGTCTTAAACCATTCCCCCTGCTCGTGTGCCTCTGCGTCCCTTTGACACGCTTGGACGTCTGATCTGCACAGGGAACAGAACTTCTGCTTCGCGGCCTTCGCTCGTTTGCCGCACATCGTGCAAAGCAACGAGGCCTCACCGTGCGGTGGCGCTGGCGGCATCTGCTCTGCAGGCGCAGCCGGCGCAGCTACAGAAGCCGTGTCCGAGGCGTTGCTCTTCGGGGTGGCGGCGGCGTCCTCAAGCAGCTGGGAGAGGTCCTTCCTTGGGGAGTTGTTGGGGTCCGACGCCGGATGCAACTTATCTAAGTCAGCATCAAAGCCAGCACTCGGCTTCGATCCTGCCCCAGTCGGCTTTGCTGGGCTGGCGCTGGACTCGGGCGGCTGCGAAGCCTGATCATAATCATCATCAGGCGAGGCGAACATCGCACCCTCCAGGAGCTTCTAGCCGACTATACCCCGCTGTCTTGGGCAAAGCTTTCGGGCAACACCATGGTTTTGGTCTGAGCGTTCGGCAGAAGAGCAGACTCGAACCATGCCGGATTCTGTACTCGTGATTCAGTGATTTATATAACACAAACAAAAGCTGTGGCGCTTGCACACTGCAGCTGCAACTAGTCCCTGCCTCCTGATTGTTGGCGTAGACTGGCCCAGCAAAGCCCGAAGAGCCAGCCCCAGAGCCAACATCGACATCAAAGGAGCGGCTGCTTTGCCTGGGCAGGAAGCTTGTTCCTGCAGCAGTCTGCGTCCGTCGCTTGGCAGACTCATCCTGAAAGGTCTTGGCACTTGCAGCTGGCCGCTTCATTGGAAATACCAACAGGAAGCAAAGCAAAGTCGCATCCGCACATGCAACACTGATCGGGACCTGCTTGTGTATGCTACCTGCCTGTACCTTGCAAGTTTCTACCCTATCACTGCACCAGACAAACACAACTGCACACTGCACATGTCCTCACGGAATAGGCATTGTGGCCAGCAGCAGAAAAGATCCTACTTCCTGATGTTTCACAGACTGACGAGTAAGGAGCAGAAGTCACATGTAAATCGTGAACGGCCAACGCTGGCCGGCTTGATTGAGGTTGCCGACAAAAGCAAGTGTGGCACTTCGCAACATGAACAAACATGCCGGTTCCTGATCATGCTTCCAGTCTCGCCAGACTCGCCAGAGCTCACAGAGCAAAGAGACATGAACCGTTGCTTCACTGGTAACTTCGTCCTATACCCCAACCCGACACATGACGACAATCATCTTTGCTGCCCGAACTCAATGTATGTTGCATGCTCCTGCGCAATACTTTTTAGCAAGACATGTCCTGCCAGGCTGTGGTTTCTCGGAGTTTCGGGGTTTTGGGCCTTGGGATGTCCGAACTTGAAGCCTCGGCGCCCGAATGGCTATAATAACCCTCGCGTTCCAGGTTTTGCTCGGAAGCTCGGCGCAGGCATGCTTTCCACAGAAACAACTCCAAGACAGTATCCCGGGCTTTTACTTGGCCAGTTTTGGCAAGCAAGCCCACAAGCGTGTCGACGTGCATGCACCAAGCATTCAGGGCAGCGTGCCGGGATGTGCGCGGAAGTGCGCGGAAGTGCGCGGATGTGCGCGGCAGTGCGCGGGAGTGCGCGGAAGTGCGCGGAAGTGCGCGGATGTGCGCGGGCATGTGCGCGGAAGTGCGCGGAAGTGCGCGGAAGTGCGCGGGGCAAGTGCGCGGAAGTGCGCGGAAGTGCGCGGAAGTGCGCGGGGCAAGTGCGCGGAAGTGCGCGGAAGTGCGCGGCTGTGGCCGCATGTGGCCCATTGTGTGACCCCGGCCCCAATCCGAAAACCTGGCGCAGCAGAAAGCAGAACAGAAAAATCCAAAAGCAATTTTGCGCTGGTTGACCCAAAATGTGGGAAGGAGGCCCCGCGTCAGAATTTCCAGCCGCCGAGGCCGCCGAAAGCCAAATCCCCCCAAGGTTTGTGTATAAATGGGATTTCAAGTATTGGAGCCTCTCTTAAGACCCAACCGAAGGCAAAAATGCAATTCTCTATTAGGTTGGGTATAGGAGGACTGATGTAGCTTCATACCCCGCCAAAGTCCCAGTCCCCTTTGCATGGTTTTGCCCGGTGTGGGGGGGGAGCTGCAAAATAGCCAAAAGCAAACCCCCCTTCTCGGCTCGAGAAGGGGGGTTTGCTTTCGCTGCAAAATAGCCACAAAAGCAAACCCCCCTTCTCGGCTCGAGAAGGGGGGTTTGCTTTCCGGCGGAAAAGGGCCCCACAAACTCCCCCCAGCCTTGGGCCCCCTCCTCCACGTGCAAAGCCTCCGACTGAGACTTTACAACCTTGTGCCTGAGGAAAGGCTACAGAGAGCGAGAGAGAAGCAGGGAAGCAAGGCCCAAACAAAGTGCAATCTGGACAGTGATCTGACATGTGATTGCCGATCTGACCGACATGTTGACATGACACGACTGCATCCTTGCATTGTACATGCACAAGTGCTACACATGTGTCAGAATTGCTCTGGCAAGAACACACATGGACTCCAGCGCTGACTCTCCGAAACATCATATTTCTCACGTCTCAGCTGTTCGGATCAGGCAGTCCGGGCAAAGGCGCTGCGTCTAGCGCAGCATCTGTGAGCACTTCGGTTCCAGCCTTGTCATGACGCTGACGGGGCATCCTGTCGGGGGGACTGCCTGTGTAATCAAAGCTGGGAGCACGAATACACCAGGTTTTGAGCTTGCGGATTGCAGCTTCCTTGTCCTCCTCCCTAGTCCAAGTTGCCGATCTGGTACACTTCGTCTCTACATAAGCTCTCGAGTGGTACCTGCATAAGACCATGAAAGAAGGATTGGCCTTTGTGCGTGTCGGTGGACGATACGTGAAGCGAAATCCTCGCCACTCGAACGTCTCATCACGGTGAAGCCGCCTTCTCACAACAGGCGGCTCATCGCCGTCGCCGGCAGCGGCTTCCACGGCCTCATGTCCCCGTCTCTCCCTTGCCCGCGGCACTGCAGGAGCCACTGCAGCAGCCGCGTCAGCATCACTGTCGGCAGCCTCAGCGGCATCACTGTCAGCAGCCTCGGCGGCTGCACCACCCTCGTTCCCAACAGAAGCATCATCACTGTCACTGCTGGAGCTGCTGGAAGAGTCGCTCGCGGAATCAGACACAGATCTGGCCGACGCCAACGAGCCCTCAGCCTCACTGAAAGCCAAAGACCCCACGCCGCCTGCATGGACATCTGATTCCTTGGCAGCTTAGCAGGAGCAGCAGCAACACTCAACATTCAGTTCACGGACCA